TAGCAAGGTAAAAAGAGCAGCATGGATTGGAGACATCCCCCCCTTCTAACCTCTGAAGTCCACAGAAATTTTCCCTGAGCCACCCAGTCACCTCCTCTGGAGTACTGCTGCTGTCATAGAGCTGCTATTCATCTCCCACCTCCATGGTCTCAGTGGTCCTGACTTGCATTGATTCGCCTACCTGAGGCCCAAGAGCTATACTCGTAACATGTTGCACTTGCTGATGGAGCTGGTTAGTCAGTTCTGACAGGATCTGGACCAGCACTGTGCCACTTGCCTTTCTTTCAGCTACACCTGGATGCTGAAATGGCTCCCAGTAAACATTGTATCATACTCTGAGGCTTGTGTTAACAGCCTGCTCCTAGGATAAGCTTAATCTTTTCTTCCATGAACTGTTGCTCAGTCTTTAAAGCCTTCCAGAAGCTCACTAGCAGAAGTTTTCTATTAATTTCTTCTTTGGTTACTCCAACACATAACAAGTTTCACATTTTGCCCTTAAGCGACCTTTTTAAAGTCTCTTTTTTCTGCTTTGCCCTTCTTTAATCCGCTCTTGATTGATTTTGTACTTTCAAACCTGATTCATGTGCTAGGCTAAGTCATGCAGAGCTGCTAGAATCTCTCCATCCACATGAAGATGTCATACCACCATTTCTCTTTTTATTTTTGTTATTATTTAAGATACTGGTCACTGTGGTGATTTGAGTAAGAAATGTCTCCCCCAGAGCCTCAAATATTTGAACACTTGGGCCCCAGTGTGGTAAGGCAAGGAATCTTTGGGAGGTGTAGCTTTGCTGGAAGACGTGTGTCACTGGGGGTGGGCTTTGAGAGTCCACAGCCTTGCCCCATTTCTAGTTCACTCTGCTTAGTGTTTGACACTGAGGATGTGATCTTTCAATTTCCTGCTCCAGTTGCCCGGTGCCATACCTCGCTACTATGATGGACTCTTTATCTTTCTGGAACCATAAGTCCAACAAATTTCTTTCTTCCGTAAGTTACTTTTGGTCATGGTGTTCTATCACCATAACAGCAAAATAACTAATATCATCACATCCCATTTTATTTTGTTATAAAATAAAATTCTGTGATTTACAGTACACTCACAATGTTGTGTGACCATCAGCACTATCTTATTCCACAGCTTAACTCCCCAAATAAACCTTATACTCAATAAGAAAGTTTCTCATTTCTTCCTTCTGACAGCCCCTAATCTTTCTGACTCCACAGATTTATACATTCTGACATTTCACACTAATGGGCTGTTTTAGTGTATGACCTTTTCTGTAAGACTGATATCACTTAGCATTTTAATATTCATGTTGTAGCATTTATAAGTACTTCCTTTTCCTTAAAAGATGGTTGTAAAAAAGCCACATGTTGTTTTGAAATTATTGATCTATGACCACGTGCTTTTTGTTACTTTTCACTATTATGAAAGTAGATTTACATTTTTCACTTTATTTCAAATCATATTCTTCAAGTATTCTGTGTAAACCTAGATCTGAAATTGTCTGTTATTGTGATAATTCTATGTTAAACATGTTGCTGGACCACCAAACTTTTTTTTCACAGCAATGTGCAAGAGTTCCAGCTCCTTCATATCCTTTTATTGACACACAGAGTTTTGTTTTTGTTTTGTTCTCAACAAAAAATGGCTTACATTTGCATGACATTTTTGACATCTTTAAACATTTTTTAAATGTATATTATTATTTTAATTTTACTGTATGAGTGTATTGTCTGCATGCATGTAACTACACCCATGTTGTGCAATACCCATGGAGCTCAAAAAAGGGCATCAGATCCCCTGCAACTGGACTTACAGAGGATTATTAGCTACCATGTCAGTGCTAGAAACTGAACCCAGGTCCTCTGTAAGTGCAGCCAGTGCTCTTAATCATTGAGCTGAGCCATCTCTCCAGCCCCTTTGACATCTTTTTTGTGCTTAGTGTTCAATTGTATGTCTTTTTAGAAGACATGTCTATTCATGTCTTTTGCTGACACATTTTTTTTTTCAGAGCTGAGCACCGAACCCAGGGGCCTTGTGCTTGCCAGGCAAGCACTCTACCACTGAGTTAAATCCCCAGCCCCATTTTTAAACACTATTTTTAATTGTGTGTGTGTGTGTGTGTGTGTGTCTGTGATGAAGGGTGTGTGCATGAGGGTACAGGTGTTTGCAGAGGCCAGAGGCATCAAATTTCCATGGTGATGGAGTTATAGGAGATTGTGAGCCACCAGATATGGATGCTGGGAACTTAACTAATGTCCTCAGCAAAAGCAGTACATGTTCTTAAGTGCTGAGCCATCTCTCCAAACCCAATGTCCTATATTTTAATTGATTTCTTTGTCTTTTAATTTCTGAGTTTAATAATTCTTTATGTAGTTGGGATATTAGCTTCTTACCAAATATAATTTACAAATACTTTTCTGTATTTCTCTGAATTTTATTTAATCTTTCCTTTGTATATGGATTTGCATCTGTCTGTATATATATATATATATATATATATATGTGTGTGTGTGTGTGTGTGTGTGTGTGTGTGTGTGCAGATGTGTGTAGTGTGTGTTGAAGCCAGAGGAAACCTTTGAGTGTCATTCTTTAGATTTTTCCCACATTGTTAGTGTTCCCAGACATTCCTCAGTGCAGGTTCATCCACTGAGGTTTAATCAACCTATCTAGAGTCCCTCCCTTTAAGATCATATCTTCCTCACCCAGCAATAATCAGCTTCCAAAAGTTCTTTGACTAACATTGGATTCCATTGCCTATTTTCACAGTTCTGTGCTGGGGTTTTGTCTGCTTAAGTTTGCATGGGTCTTATGCATGCTGATAGCATTGCTCTAGGTTCATCTGAGTAAGGTCCCAGGAGCCTGTAGGACTCTATTTCCATAATAAGGTCGTGCAACTCCTCCCTGTCTCTTATGATCTTTCTGCCCCTCTTCTTCAGTGGTCCCTGAGCCCTGGGTGGGTGCAGTCCTCTCCAAAGACCCAAACTCTGCACAGTCTTATTCTTTACACTTGGGACATTTGTGACCTTTTGTGTTGCTGGCCTTCTGTTGCATGAGGGATTTTCATTGGTGAGAGTTGAGAGATGTTTTAGTCTTCTCTTCAGTCCAATAGAGGGATGCTTTCGGAAACCTTTGTCAAGAAACTCTAATGGCTGACTCTTTTATGAACATTTGAAAATTGCCCTGTTCTGACTTTTTCCTAGTTCCCTGTCTAGAACTTGTAATGCTAATTACTCTTGCCGTTACTTCTTCACATCTCCTATTCATTGTTCAAGGACTTCTTTCTTTTCCCCTTGGAGAAAAGAGTTATGCAACTTGGGAGTCTTTTAGATAGACCCACTGAAGGGGAACTCCAGTTGCCTCACCCTGCGTCCCTGTTCAGCATGGAAGAAGCCAGAGCAGTCAGCGTCCCTATTCCCTAATGGCAATTTGGGTAACCACTTCAGAGGATAGGGTGATAAGGATAGGAGGTAGGAATTGGCTAAGCAGTTAGGGTAAAAAGATCCTAAAGAAATGTAGCCAGTTTCTTGGCTAAAAGTCAACATGTCCTTGGGCCAGTTAGCAACATACTCTGTTCCAAAGGCCAAAAATGTCTAATGTATTTGGGAGAGCTTGTATCTAATCTTTAAAAGGTTTTAAAATATCTCTTCAGAGGGGGAAATGTTAGAGTAGCCAAATTCCCATAAAACTAAATAAATGGAGGCAAGAAGAGGGCATTGGATTCCCTGTAACTGGAGTTACAGAAAGATTTGAGCCACCAGGTCTTCTGTGGGGTCCTTTGTGAGGACCTAGATCATCTGTAAAGACAGCAAGTACTGTTAACCATTGAACCATATCACTAGCCCAGTGTTGATCAAAATTTTTATTTTGGATGAGGTCCAATTTTTAATATTTACATTGGTGATTGAGATGTTGAAGTTCATATCTAAGAAATCTTCATGAAATCTAAAAATAGAATGATTTACTGCTATGTTTTAAATTAAGAGTTACAATGCTTTAGCACGTATATTTAGAGCTTTAATTTACCTCAAGTTAAATTTTATGCATAGTATGAAGTAGGTGTTCAACTCATGCTCCTGCCATGGATTAACATGGATTGACAGTTGTCCTAGAGAGTCTTGAAAAATCTACGTCTTGGCACTGAGTGAAAATTCATCTGACCATAGACACATGCGATCTTTTTCTGTGCTCTCCAGCCTCTCCGTTCACCCTCATGTCAACTGCATGCTGTTCTAATCCTTAATAGAGGCCGCTAGCTTTCCTTTTGTTTTTGGAGATTATACTGACCATTTTGCAGCTTTTTAAACTCCTCATGAAGCTTAGCATAAGAAAGTACATTTAGAACTTTGGTAGAGATTACACTGTATCTGCTATTCAATATGAGAGTTTCATTATTCCACCAATAATTCTTACCATTTTACCAATTAATTACTTTTATTCATGAAAATATCATATCGTAATTTTATCTGAGGTCTTTAAATATTTTCATAAAAGCTTTGTAGTGCTTAGTAAAAAGCCAGTCGTGAATTTAGCAGATTTATTGCTGATATTTTGGTTTTAGAATGTTATTACGTGTGGAATCATATTAAATTCTACATGTGAAATCCTCCCTTTTCTTGCATATATATTTAAATAACTGAAATTGTATTTTAATTCTTATAATGCTTTTTAGTTGCTAGTTTCTTTAGTGTTTAATCAAGTATCCTGTAGTTAGCAAATGGGGCCTATTTCATCAGAATTCTGTGACTTTTTGACTTTCACTATCGTTCTCTGAGGATATTGTAGTTCTTGAAATAAAATATCCCATGCTTATATTGAATTTTTAGTGACATAGTCTCAGAACTATCTTGCTACAAGTAACACTAGGGCATTTTAGGAGAGGATTTCACTAGGAATCTAAGATATTCAGCCTAATGAAAATAAATTACTAATTTTTATTTTCTAAAACCAAATTGCATAGTGATTATTAATCCATTTTTTCTCTCTTTTTCTTTAGTTCCTCCAGTAATCCGTGTGTATCCAGAGAGTCAAGCCAGAGAGCCTGGGGTAACAGCAAGCCTTAGGTGCCACGCAGAGGGTATTCCAGACCCTCAACTTGGCTGGCTGAAGAATGGAATCGACATTACACCAAAGCTTTCCAAGCAGCTCACACTTCAAGGTGCCTTTTCCTCACATTATTTTTCTTAATGAAATATGCAGAGATTTTATACTAAATTTTACGAAACATTTTAAATACATGAGAAATGAGAGACTGAGTCAGAGTGGTAACTATTAGGAATATTGTGACTCCATTTAAGACACATTTGAAAGTCCTTTATAATTTTTAATATTTAAAAAATGTATTATATGTGTGTGAGTTGTACCTGCATGTGTGTCAGTGCACCCTTGTGTTGTAAAATGCTCGTTGAGGCCAGACAATGGCATGACATCCCCCGGAATTCAAGTTACAGATAATGTAGTTGTGAGCCACCACTTGGGTGCTGGGTACCAAACCCAAGTCCTCTTGCAAGAGCAACACGTTTTCTTAAATACTGAGCCATTTTGCCAGCCCCTAATATCTTTAATGTTTCAAATAACAGTCTTATCATAGTGATTAATTATAGTATGTCATTATTTGGTGATAAGTTAAATATTTCATTATATATTTTGAAATTCTTGTATTAGGAATTATAGTATGTCTTCTGAACAGGAAAATTATCTATTCACAGAACTATATTTTTGAAGTTACTTCTTAAATGTTTATCTGACATGGAGCTATGCATGAAAAGTTTTAATAATACCAAAATTTTTAGTGAATATTTTTTGACATATGCTGCAAATGAAAAAATTTTAAAAATAGTTATTAAATATGTTTTATGCTTACATTGTTATAATATTATTGATTTAATTCTACATATAACTTATTTTTCAAGTTTTATTTACTTTTTGAATTTAAAAAAGATATTAATTTTAAAAATTATGTATATGAGTGTTTTGCCTGCATGCATCTAAGTTTACATGTGCATGCAAAGCCTCTGGTGGAAAGAAGTGGATTCTCTGGAACTGGAAATATAATTGATCATTAATGCATGTTGGGAACTGAACCCGGTCCTCTGCAAGAATAGCCAGTGCTCTTCACTGCAGAGCCATCACTCTAGCTCCAAGTTTTATTGTATTTTATAAGCCACTAATTTTGATCAATGCTGCCTATTTTCACATGTGTATGGAGTTAACCATTGAAGCATAGGTAGTCTATCAATGCCCGAACCCAGGAATGGTTACTCTCCCTCAGTAGTCCTCAAATGACATTAGACTCTCAGCTAGACGTAGGGTTTTGGGAGTCCCTCCCCATATCATGCTGGAATTTTTAACTCTTCTGATCTCGTGGAGGTCTTGTTCAGGTAACCACAGCTGCTGTGAGCTCATATGTATAGCAATCATGTCATGTCCAGAGGACATCGTGTCACATCACTCCTTCCAATTGTCCAGCTCTTGCATTCTGTAGTTCTTCCCTTTCTTCTAGTGCGTTCCCTGAGCCTTAGGGGGAGGGGGTTGCCATAGATCTTTGATCTATGATGGAGTACTTACAGTCACTTTTCAATAGTTATGCATATTTGCAATCACCACTACCTTTTACCACTCTGATCAAGATTAAGAACAGCAAAAACCTATAAATATAAACAGAAAGATGGTTGAGCAACATGGCCATTTAGTGACGCAACATCAATGGTTCTTCCCTAGAGGTGGATTCTGAGCATGCTGACAATACCAAGTATAAATTCTCTCCTGTGAAGCAGACCTTAAGTCCAATCAGCAGAGCAGTTAGTTGTCCCTATTAACAGTTTTGCCTCTATAACAACAGAAGACACATCTTGTCTGGCAGATTGGTATGGTAACACTGCTGGTCCAGGGCTGGATAAGACCACTGATGTAGTTAAACTTCCAGCAGCCATCACAACAACTTCCAGCACTAAGAAAGCTAGCTAGGCTAAGGAGTGCTTCGTGGTCAGTTCAAGATCGATTTCTTTATGTCCTGCAACAAAAAGTGTGGTGCTTTAGCGATAGGATCTTACCCTTTAGTTAGCTTGGGTTTCTCTGGAGCCTTCTTGCACAATAACTTGTAGGGAGGTAATGTGTACTTGGCCCTGAGATTTTCATTTAATCCTTTGTTGATGGTACAGTGTGTTCTTTGGGGTAACAAAACAATGGATACTGTTTTCTAATCTAATGTGCTAGTCTATGTCTTTTATTTAGGAATTGAAATCATTAACAATAATTGTTGAAAGATATGTATTAATTCCTGTATTTTGTTAACTTTGTGCTACCTTCTTAGACCACTTCAATCATTTGTGCTGATATTGTATATTTATTCATTATGAACTCTTGGGTGTGTTTATTTTCCTCCAAGACTGAAATACTGCTCCTAGGGTCCTCTGTAGGGAAAGCTCATAAATTAATCTGGTTTTATCATGAAAGACTTATTTTTTCCATCAATATTAGTAGTTTTCTGGGAATAATAGTATAATTTGACAATTGTGATTGTTCACAACTTTGAATACATCTGTCTAGGCCTTTTGGCTTTAAAATTTTCTGTTGAATAATCAAGTATTGTTCTGATGCGGCTACCTATATAATGATGTGATCTTCCTGCAGCTTTCAATATCCTTTGCTTATTCTATATTTTTAGTGTTTTAAATATAACATTTGTGGAGTTTGTTTTCTTGTCCTGTTATTTGGTGTCCTGTGAATTCTTTATATCTAAATGGATATCTCTTTCTTTTTGTTTGGAACTTTTCTTCTATGATTTTACTGAGAATATGCTCTATGTCTTTAGTATAGTATTGCCTTCTTCTGTGCCCTATTATCTGAATGGGAGGTCTTTTCATTGTGTTCCAAAGCCTTGCCATGTTTTGTTCACAGATTTTTATTAATATATTATTGCCTTTTATAGAATGATTACATTCTTCTACTTGGTCTTCTAGCCCTGATTTTCCATGTGATGATTGGTTCTGTTGATGAGACTTTCTACTGAGATTTGTATTTAGTTAATTGAGATTTTTTTTTTCATTTCTAGCCGCATTTCAGTTTGGCTTTTCTTTAGCAAGTTTAAATTTTTTTGAATTATATTTTCTTATTGTGTATTGACTTCCTTATTTGATCCAGCTCTTTGTTTTCATTCTCCTGAATTATATACACATCTTCTATGAGTTCTTTGAACATAATTATAATTGTTCTTTTGAATTCTTTGTCTCAAAGTTTGTCCAAGTAATTTTCTTTGGAGTCCTTTATTTATTGGATTGATAGTTTGAGGGGAGCAATGTTGCCTCTTGAATTTTCTTGTTGTTTTTCCATACTGAGACTTGTACATCTGGAGTTGGTTGAGTGGAAAGATGGGCCATGGGCTGAGGGTCTGGGAATTGCTTACTTATCAGTATAATTCACTAAGGAACTGTGGCATGTGGTCCAAGAACTCAGCATCCAGGGACCCTTTACCTCTTGATGCCAGGAGATAGTGGTTGCAGAAATTTGGTCTGGACACTTAGGGTCTGGGAATGCCTTGCCTGTTGGTGCCAAGGGTTGGGAAATGATGATGGTTTGGGCCAACTGCTCAGGGACCAGGGACCCCTAATCTGTCAGAGATGGGAGCTAAGAGGTGAGGAAATTTAGGCCAGTGATCAAGGTCTGGATAACCCTTACCTGTAGGCACTGGGAGTTACAGAGTCATAGAAACTTAGGTAGATTGTTGGGGTCTGATGACCACTTACCTTGTGTGCCAGGAGCTAACAAGAGAATGGAAGTTTATACCTAATATCAGAGTCCAGGATCCCTTACCTGTTGGGATGCCAGGAGATGGGATATCATGAAGTTTTGGGCCCAGACTTGTGGTCTAAAGACCTTATATCTGTCAGTGTATAGAGCTAGTGAAAAAGCAGAAGTTTGGGCCTATTTTTCATGTTTTAATATTCCAATATATATATGTGATAAATCAATTGTTACATAGATGAAAACAATCACAACAAAATGGAAGATGCAAATCAAAAGAAAATATTTTATAAGAAATAATTTAAACATTGAATAAAACAATTAAATGTGATTTGATTATAATGACATTAAAGATATATATAAATCTGACTTGGATTTTGAGCTATTATAATGACAACCCATATTGCATATCTTTAAATCTCTCCAATTAAAGGATAAAAGTTCATATATTTTTATCTTTAATTATTTCTATAAATGTATATTACTATTCTAGTTTCATTGAGGATACTTTTAATAAGTAATCCTTTTGTACAAAGATTTGAAGCATTTTTACTTATTTACTTTTATGTGTCAATAAACACCTATGCAAGCATTCTTGAACTTTAAAAACTTACTTGAGGGGCTGGAGAGATGGCTCAGCAGTTAAGAACACTGGTTGTTCTTGCAGAAGACCCATGTTCGAATCCCAGCACCCACATGACAGCTAACAACTCTCTGTAACTTAAATAAAACTTATTTGAATTCTAGAAATTACTATATTGATAACCATAGGCCTGGTTTTTAACAGAAGGATCACATTCTTTTTCTTTAAGACCTCTCTTCTAGCTAGGCATGATGGTGCTTACCTTTAATCCCAGTGCTCAGGAGGCAGAGTCTTTGTAGGCTAGTTGATCTTTGGAATTTGCAGCTTCTAATATTGTTCTTTTGCTGTATATATTTGACGTCATCACTATGATGTATCATGGAGAGGCTTTGCTCTGGTCATCAATATTTGAGGTTTTAAATCTGTCTTTTGTCTAGATATCTATTGTTCCTTTGGCTTGGAAATTTTCTTCTGTAATTTCACTGAATTTGCTCTCTGTACACTTAGTGTCTATCTCAACTTCTATCCTGTGGATCTTAGGTTTGGTGTCTTAAATTTCAGAATAATTTCAGCTGCCTCATTTTATTATTTTGGTTATTGAGGATTTATGATATTGAAAAGATGTCATAGCAGTTTATTTTCTGTTGTTTTGCATGGATTTCTTACGTTGAGATGAATATGTCTTCAGTGTATTAACCCATTTTT